CTATTCATTTCCTCTGTTGGCCTATTAATTATAGCTTTTTGTTACGTTTTTAAAGAGTTATAAGCTAGGCATGATGACTCATGCCTATAATCTCAGCACTTTGGGAGGCCAAGGTGGGAGGACTGCTTGAGGCCACAAGTTTGAGACCAGCCTGGGCAACATAGCGAGATCCCATCTCTACAGAAAAAGAAAAATTAGCTGGGTATACTGGCATGCTCCTGTATTCTCAGCTACTTGGAGGCTCAGGCAGGTCGGAGGTCAAGGCTACAGTGAGCCATGATCGTGCCACTGCACTGCAGCCTGAGCAACAGAGTAAGACCCCATATCTAAAAATACAAACAAACAAAAACCCAAAAGCATATATTTTATCTTATCACATGTCTATTTTTTTCTTTAATCCCCTTTTCAAAAAAAACTTTAATGATATTATACTACCTCCCATAGAATAAAAACCACATAGTTCCATTTCTTGCTTCCTGGCCATTGTGATATTGTTGTCATACATTTGACTTCTACATATGTTATAAATAGACAATAAGCTGTTATTAACTTGATTTAAGCAGCCTATTACCACTTAGAGATTTAAATAATACAAAAAATATTTCACAGTAACCCACACAGTTACTCTCAGTCTTCTTCATTCTCTTGTGCCTCTCCAGGTTTCCATCTGATAGAATTTTCCATTTGGTTGAAGGACTCTCTTTCACATTTCTTGTGGTACAGGTCCATGGGTAATGAATATTTTCAGGTTTTAATGAATGAAAACTATTTTATCTTCCTTTTTGAATGATATTTTCTCTGTATATATAATTCTAGGTTATTTTGTTCCACTATCTTTCTATTTTTATTTTTCTGAGACAGGGTCTGACTCTGTCATCCAGGCTGGAGTGCACTGGCACAAACACAGCTCACTGCAGCCACAACCTCTCAGGCTCAAGTGATCCTCCTGCCTCAGCTTCCCAAGTAGCTGGGACTGCAAGCATGTGTCTTCATGCCTGCCTACTTTTTGTATTGTTTTGTAGAAACGTGGTCTCGCTATGTTGCCCAGGTTGTCATTGAACTCCTGGCCTCAAGGAATCCTCCCACTTCAGCCTACCGAAGTGCTGGAATTACATATGTGAGCAACAGCACCCAGCTTCCACCTTCCTTTTATTATGGGATTCTAATTCTAATCTTCAATTAGGCTGCTTGAAGATACCTCAGAAATCACTGATGCTCTGTTTTTATTTTGTTTTGTCTTTTTTTCTTTCTGCTTCATTTTGCACAATTTTTATTGCTATGTTTTCAGGTTTACAAATTATTTCTTCTGTGATGTCTAATTGGCTGTTAATCTCATCCAGTGTATTTTTCATCTCAGTAATGATAGCTTTCCTTTTTATAATGTGATTTCAGGTAGAGATTTTTTTAATGTCTCTACTTAATATGATCAATATATTTTCCAGCAGCTTGAACATATGGAATGTGGGTATAATAACTTTTAATGTTTTTGTCTACCAATTCTATACTCTGTGACATTTCTGGATCAGTTTATATTGATTAATATTCTTCTCCTCATCAGCTGACTATTCCTGCTTCTTTCCATTCCTGGTAGGTTTAGACTGGATGTCAGACACTACAAATTTTATAAATTTTATCTTGTTGTATGCTGGATATTTGTATTCCTATAAATATTCTTGAGCTTTGTCCTGGGAGTATAGTAAAATTACTTTGAAACAGTTTGGTCCTTTCAGGTCTTGCTTTTAAGTTTTTTTGGGTAAGACCACAGCAGCACTTAGTCTAAGTCTGCCCCATTACTAAGGCAAAAACCTTTCTTGGTACCCTATTCACATGCCTTGTGAATGATGAGGGTTTCTACTACAAGTGAGGGAAAAGGGAACCATTTCTAGCTCTGTGCAAGCTCCAGGGACTGTTCCCTCTAATCCTTTTAGGTGGTTCCTTCTGCTGAGTACTTGAGAACATCCCTCTGTATATCTCCGGTGTGCCTAGTCTGTGTAGTCCTTTCCTCTCTGGCATTCGGCCCTGTAGCAATGTTAGCCACTTTAGCCTCCTTAGACTCCACTCAGAGACTGACAGTCTCCTTGAGTTTAGGAAACAGGTCTGGGAGTCTGGGGAAGCCTTATTAAACAAGACAGATTAAAGATCATCTTCTTGGTGTTCTTATAGAAACATAACACTCAGCTACTTTGTGAAAAAATGTAAAAATTTAGAATATACAGTAACTCCAAATCAAATGCCAGAATGAAACAAAATTTATTAAATGAACACATGTACTCATTCATTCAGCAAATACTTATTTGTAGACCTACTATGTCCAAGTATTTCCCAGGCCCTGGAGGAATACAGCAGTGTATTAGTCTGTTTTCACACTGCTGATAAAGACATATCCAAGACTGAGTAATTTATAGAGAAAAAGAGGTTTAATGAACTCACAGTTCCATGTGGCTGGGGAGGCCTCACAATCATGGTGGAAGGCAAAAGGCACATCTTACATGGCAGCAGACAAGAGAGAATGACAACCAAGTGAAAGGGGTTTCCCCTTATAGAACCATCAGATTTCATGAGACTTATTCACTATCACAAGAACAGTATGGGGGAAACCACCTCCATGATTCAATTATCTCCCACTGGGTCCCTCCTATAACACCTGGGAATTATGGGAGCTACAATTCAAGATGAGATTTGGTTGGAGACACAGACCAACCATATCAAGAAGTGAAAGTCCCAATGCACAAGCAAGGATGAAATGGGAATGGGGACATATGATAACTGAAGAGCCAACTTAGAGGTTTCTGATTATCTGCAAAGGCAGCCTCCCACATTGGCAACTTCAAAGCTACTTGGACTCTTCACTCAACCAACAGAGAAAAGAAGCAGAGAAATATCTCCCACTGAATGATGTACCCTGTGCTTACAGTATTTGCCGGCATTAGTTCACTCTCTTCATTCCTTTTCCAACAGTGATTTTCAACTTTTTTTCAGCAGAGAGGACCTTATTTGCTACCTTCATTTTTCCAGTCTACACATTCAGCAGTCAACGTAAACAAAAGGAAACACCTTTCTCTGTTTGCAATTTGAATCTGCCTGTATGTAGTAGTTTGAACCTTTAAGAAGCAGCCAGGGTTTCCTCAAAGCTAAAGCTAGCCTTTACCATAGAAGTAGGATAAAAGGCTGAGTGCAGTGACTTACATCTGCAATCCCAGCACATTGGGAGGCCAAGGTGGGAGGATCGCCAAGAATTTGAGACCAGCCTGGGCAACATAGTGAGACCATGTCTCTACAAAAAGTAAAATAAAAATTAGGCAGGTATGGTGGCACATGCCTGTAGTCCTAGCTACTTGAGAGGCTGAGGTGGGGGGATACTTGAGCCCAGGAGTTTGAGGCTGCAGTGAGCTATGATCAGGCCAGTGTACCCCAGTCTGGGAAACAGAGCAAGATCCCATCCTTAAAAAAAAAAAAAAAAGAAATAGGATAAAAATGTCTACATGTAGTCTGCAGAGAACTGCTCTAGAACCCCTGATCATACGATTTAAAATAAATCCTCAAAGAAATGCAACTTTGACTCCTCCAAAGCATGACTCCTGAATGCTTCCAAAATTTCACAACTTTTCCTGCTGCAGTTGATTTTTGCATATATCTTATGGCCACTACCACTATTACAGGCTTAAAAGTATAGAAAGTAATAACAATAATCTCATCTGCCCCTCCAAACACTCTCAAAACAAACAAAAAATATGCCAGCTAAATAGCTTTACAATAAACAGGTCATTTCAAGAAAAGACATCTAATTATGTTGACTCTGATTACTAGTAATAACTTGGAAGTCTTAAGAAATTTAACAGTTCAGCTTAAAACAATTAAACAGAACTATTGAGGATAAAATCACCCCCTAGACTCAATATATCTACAGATACAAAAAGAATTAGATGGCTTGCTGATTCATTGTCCCTTCTGTTCCCAGTCCCAAGTGCCAAACACATCAGAGAGCAGATATTAAGGCTTCGTTAAAATCAGAATTCATAGGAGGAAAGAATTTTTCAGCAGCATGATTTTTACATTTGATTTTTCAATTTTGGATCCTGAACATTCCAAAGTTACAGAACTGAAAAATATAAACATATAAGGAAAACTTCCCATTCTATGTATATATGTATGTATGTATGTATTCCATTTATATAAGTCAAACATGGGAGTTGGGCCTTCAACTAATAGACACTGACCTCAAGGTCATTTGGAGTATGCAATCTTTTTATCGATAAATCCTTTCTTAAAGGATATGAAGGCTCTCTGGACAAATATGCATTGTATATTACAATCATACAACTTCTAGTTATATCTATTTCCTTCATCTAGCAACAGCTTAAACCCGTACTCAATTTGGAAAATCCTTAAAAGGAATCTCTACTCACCACTTTGAGCACTGCATTAAAACTCTAAGAGGAAACTTGCCAATTCTCAGCAATGAAACTATCAGAAGAAGCTCTAAGCAGGAACACTAGGAGATTAGTGTACAAATAGATGATGTTATGTCATGTCAGGGAAAGGTAAACAATATACTTTATTTCATTGTACTATCTGCAGAGCGTACACATTGCTCCATATGCTCTGACAGTACTAAGCTACTTTCTAGCAAAATATTCATGGGTTATTGTATGATTAATGAATATTGTTAGTGAAGGAATGATTGAAAGAATTAATGGCTTAGGTTGGTAAGGTTAAGCAAAACCTCCATGTGATTTTTTTCAAAAAGACAATGAGATACACTAAAAGCATTTTAGCAAGGCAAATAAATGTCAGTGTTACAACAAATGGAGTTTCATTTAGTGGACAGCTAGTTAGTAGTAAAACTACTAGCTTTAGTTACTTAAAACCACTTGTAAGAGGGCAAAACCACTTTGTTAGTAAAACCGTTTATAAGATGAACACAGTTTCCAAGCCTGAAAGAATTATTTTTTGTCTGAGAAAATGAGAGACCATGATGCTTAAAAAAAACCATCACTCACAGATTCCTTTCCCATCTTCTTTTGTAGACGTGTTTGCCACTGGACGGCTTGCATGACAATGGCTTCCCACCTTCTTTCAAGATTTACAATGATCAGCTGCATGGGCTGGTGGTCTGCATTCAGATTGCAAGTCTCCCGGTCATCCAAAAGATGCTGGCATAGTCGCAGAATGGAGGCAACTCCTCGACGTCGTTGCTTGATTTCACGACAGAGGGACTGCAACATAGAGAGCAACCAATCTATAAGTGTTTATACGGCAAAGTTCCCTAAAACATGAAACACCTTCTTCCATCATAATTTCAAATTGTAGTGATACACTCAGCTACCAACAATAGGACAATAAGAAGAGCTCTGATGTCTCTTTTAGAATGGAGGCCTTCTACAGAAGCCCAATATGCTAAAGAATTTAGCTGCATCCCATTCCTCCACACTTTTTCACTGATTTATCCCTCTGAAATGTAGGGTCCCCCTTGACACCTGAGTAATTAACAATTTCCAGTCTGATGAAATGAATCACTTAGGTCAGATGAATGCCAAACAGATTGAAATGCTATGACATAAGGTCAAAGGAAACACAAAAGATACAAAAATCCTCTGAAAAGAAACAGAATTTTTCCAAATTTACTCCTACATTCTTTGGAGGCAAAAAGTTCAGTTTTCTACTGGCTGAGAACAAGTTAAATAAGATTGCAAAGAATTTTTATATATAAAATCTATTATCTGAAAAAAAAAGATAAGAAATATTCCTCTTCCGAAGCTTGATTAACAGAGCAATAATGTTCTGAAAGCGAAAATTAAGATACTGGATTATTACTGCACTATTTGTTGGTTGCCGTGTTTCTTTTAATAGACATTCACACAATTTAAGAAGGACATGCATGCATCAAAATACCATTTTGCCCCCAGAAGCATTTGTATTGCTGCAGTGACCGTAAACTGAATGATTCAAGCAAAATAGTGGGTACACATGTCTAAAAATATTATATCCTTTCTTTGCCTACGGATAGTATGTAAGTGATATTCTAATTCACAGCCTTCAGGAGAAATGATGATTATATCCACAAACATCACTGAATTACTAATCTCTTTCTACTGCCACAATTGGACTGTTCTAACAGTTAACAGATTGCTTATTAATCAACAAGGGTAAACAAGACAATGCAATTTCATTTAGTGTGAGAGTTTTAATGCCTGAAAGTATTTGTGCTTAAAATGTTAATCTAGATAAGGCTTCATTAGAAGAAATCTTAAAATGATTAAGTGTGGTACGCTGAAATGTGCATGGAGTGGGGGTATTAGATCAGCAGGTGGACATTTCATACAGATGTTCCACTTATTGATACAATGCATGCTATAGCCATTTAAATGACCCTAACTCAGTAATGGCTGGAATTCTATTATTTCTGTAATGAGAGAACTCTGTACCTTTAATATTTCTGAATTTTAAATAAAGAGAATGACAAATTCCCAAACCTCTATTTATGGCAAAATATGACTAGAAATTTTATTATTCAATTTATACCAGTGCAGCAGTTTCAGTTATGTTTCTTGAACTTATCCTTATTTATTTTCCTAGAGTTCATTATTATTTTCCTATATAAGTCCTGATATAACCACTATGTCTGACAAATTTCTTTACTGCTGCTACTAATTGGTTCAGTGCTGAATGAGGAGAAATGCCTAAGACATTGAAAGATAAAACTTAAGCCTACTAAGACGACAAGCATTGTTTCCATCTCTTCTACAACCCTGTCAAATGTCTCCCCTCAACCCCACACGCATGTTCTCTTTCTCTCTCTCCCTGTCTCTTCTCTCTCACACACACAAACACACACACACATCCACACACACCCTTCAATTTATCTCTTGCTCTAGAACAACTCTTGGGCAAGTCATACTATGAAGGCCACCTAATACGTGCCAATTTGGGGCCCAATATTAAACACTTCAAGATAACATTATGGCTAAATGAAACTGGCCCAAGTGAGTACTCTAAATATTAATATTAAGGATTTGGGGTTTTGTTTCTGTTTTGTTAACTTGTTAAGAGTCAAGGCCTAGAAAAATCGAAAGAGATGTTTCTGTGTCACAGAACTGAATTCTGCAAAACTCTCTTTAAAATAAAGTCAACTAGCATAATAACTGTATTTCTTAAGCCAACAAAAAGTCCCAAAGTTCTTAGCCAAATGAAAATTTACAATGGATGGCACTAAAGATATATGCAGAGTTAGCACAGGCCACATCAGGTAACATTTGCAAAGCACCACAAATAGACTTCATTCACCTTATAGGCATTTTCAAATTTCTGAAACAGGACACGTGAGGTTGCTGGGAGAAATTTTTCATAAAGATCACTGGCCATAAATTTTTTTGTAAGTATCTAGAATGTATCCAGTATTTAAGTATCTAGGTGATCCCCACTCCTATCTTAATTTGAATCAATCAAGATGAATATAGTGGTTTAAAAACTGAGAAGGCAGTTACTGTTGATATTCAATATCTGACTTTTGGATATTCACAATTCTGCAGGGTTTTTTTTGTTTTTTTGGTTTTTTTACTTTAAATGAACAAAGGGCTTAGTCTACATTCTGAATTAAAAATTTATCCTACATGTGCACTTGGGAAATAATGCTACTTTTAAAAAGGAGGGGAAAATTGGAAATTTTACATGGCCAGCATATTTTTCAGTACTTTTTTATACCTAGAAGATATAATTAATAAAATAACATTCTTCTACATAAATGGGCTTCCATGACAGCCATTAAAATATACATATGCATTTATAATCACAAATGCTTAATAAATAAAGTCAGTAGATTTGCTGGCAATGTTTCTTAGAATCAGTAGTTTATATTATTTCCATAAATATGCATAGATATTAACAAACAATTATTATAACTATTTTTGGCTTCATTTCAGAGAAAATGTGCTTTGAAACAGAAACTCAAGGTAAGTAACCTAAGTAAAGCACAGAAATAAGACAAACACATCCCTACCTCCCTGATCTCCTCAAACGTGTACTGCACTTTCCATATGCTAGGCACTGTTTCAGGAACGAAGGCTTCAAAAAGGAGCAAGTTCCCTTTTTCCCTTAAGAAGTTGAGAGTCTACTGGAAGTAAACTATACAAATAAGTGTAATATCAAGTATACTTCAGAGAGGAAGGTGCTAACAGAAGTATGTGCAAGTTGCTATTAAAAGAGTCAATGAAATCTTCAGGGGAATGGTATGAACCAGATGGACCAAGATGGGTAGTGGTGGTTATATGGGTAGAAGGCTGAGAGGTATGTTAAAATGGAAAACAAGTAAGTAGCCTCTGGCAGTGGGAATGCCTGGTGTGTTGGGGAGAGAGAGTGAAACAGTTAGAAAAGGAAGTTGGAAACAGAAAAGTTTGAAATGCTTTTCATTATTGCCATTTTTAAGCATTTTCCTTGACATCTAATGAGATCATGTTGGTTCCCACGCAAGTCATATTGCCTTCCCAGAAAACTATAAAGAAGAGGGAAACAAAATTTAAAAAGAAAGAAAAACACAACTATCAATATGCCTAAGAAAGGGATTCCAAATGCTTTCATATTTGCTTATAATTTGCTAATCTTTAGGCAATTTCATCTTGCCAGGTTAAATCTATTAGTATGGAGGTCATTATCTGTCTTTTCCCCCCCTTATAATGATCTCTGATCCACATTATAAGGTAGTTACCAATAGGCTGAAGACTTTTGTTTCACATTTGCAAACTGTCAATTTGATTTTCAATTTACCAGTGGCAATGCACAGGGGTGTTTTTTGGTTTACTTGGGTTTTATTCCTCTACTGACTTCCTCTGTCACTTTTTCAAACTGTTTAAACCAATCATATTATTGAACAAATGTGCAATATTATTCTTCACATTGGCTTCAGTTTAACACCATTGAAGTTAAGACTTTCAACACTGGTATTTAGTCTTCATTATGTATCAAATATGTGCATATATGCAAACATATTACATAGATATTTACTTATATTTACTTGTATACACATACTTGACATTTAATGTCATACAGTTTATAAAAGGATATAAATAAGCTTATAATAAAAGAACAACTTCATTTACACCAAGAACTGTTACAGCAAATGAGATGTAAGAATCAGATCAGAGGCCGGGTGCGGTGGCTCACACCTGTAATCCCAGCACTTTGGGAGGCCGAGGCGGGCAGATCACGAGGTCAGGAGATCAAGACCATCCTCACTAACAGGTGAAACCCCGTCTCTACTAAAAAATAAAAAGACAAAAATTAGCTGGGCGAGGTAGGGGGCACCTGTAGTCCCAGCTACTCGGGAGGCTGAGGCAGGAGAATGGCGTGAACCTGGGAGGCGGAGCTTAAACAAATTTAACTGAGAAACTCCAAAGTAATTTGTCTCCAACATTTATTACATAATTTAACTTTGTAGGTTGATTAAACATCATTAGGCAGGCCAATATGAACAAAGTGGTGGGACTTTAGCTGATCTGTTACATTAAAAAATAACAACAACAACAACAACAAAAATAGCCTATGAAGCAATTCCCACTTTTAGACTTCACCTTCTAAACTGATGAACAGTTTAATATCAGTTGAGCATGGCTTCTATGTGGCAAGCACAACAAAGAAGGTACAATCTCCCTATATGATTATGTACCTGCCTTCAATCTAGTTGGAGTGAGGAAACATACAGAGAGAAGGGAAGCATGAACGAACACAGGTGACTTCCAGTTTAAATATTATCAGGAGGGGCCAGGCGCAGTGGCTCACATCTGTAATCCCAGCACTGTGGGAGGAGGAGGCAGGTGGATCACCTGAGGTCAGGAGTTCAAGACCAGCCTGTCCAACACGGTGAAATCCCATCTCTATTAAAAATACAAAAATTAGTTGGGTGTGGTGGTGGGTGCCTGTAATCCCAGCTACTCAGGAGGCCGAAGCAGGAGAGTTACATGAGTCCAGGAGGTGGAGGTTGTAGTGGACTGAGATCGTGCCATTGCACTCCAGCCTGGGCTTCAAGACAGACACTGTCTCAGAGAAAAAAAAAAAAAAAAAAAAAGTCAAGAGAGCAGCTCCATCCCATAGTTGTAACAGTTTCCTAAAATTTTCCACGTGTTTTGCTGTCTGCTCTTTGTCTGCTACCTATGACCAGATTTTCTACAACAAGGGTCCTCAGAGTACAGTGCTCAGGCCAAGCAGTATTCACATCACCCAGAAA